AGAGATGCTGTGTGAAAATATAAGTACAGTCATGGCATGTCTGTGTGTGCTGTGACACCCCAAAAGACTGACGGGATGTGTTAGCTGCCGTGGATGGGTGTGCTGTGCTGGACCACTTCCCTCAACCATCCCATGGTGTGGGTGTAGGGTGGTGTTTCTGTAAAGTTTGGAGCTGCACAACACTACCACTGAACTGAGGGAGATCCCAGTTCCTCAAAAGAGGATCTGAAACTGGGATTGGGAGCTATCAGGCAGGACAGGACCCAGTGCTCCTGAGGCCAGTGTGCCATGAGAGCCAACACCCATCGAATCCCCACCAACACGATCCCTAAGGCAGCGCATCCCTAAACAGAGCTTGACAGTCATGCGTGCCTCAGACCTGGGCAAGCCAAGTTCCCACAGTGAAAGGGCTGAGTGATTGTCAAAACTGAGATCATTGTAACAGTTTTTTCTCTTTTGAGAAGAGGAAAGTGAAGAACGTGGAGAAGAAAAAGCAGTGGAAAGATGAAGGGAGGTGATATAAGAAACAGCAAGATGGAGAGAAACCATATTCAAGGATATCCAGTTCTCTGAATTGCAGTCCAATAGATGTTAAGTAAGGGAGATAAGTGGAAGAAGGGCAAGAAAGAGTGAAGAACAGAAGGCAAGGCATGGCAAAGGAAAGTAGAGGGTGAAATGCAAGCAGAAAAAATTAAGCAAGCAGATCAAATAACGCAGATACGCAACTGCCACACCTGTTTTAGTCTTTGCTTGTCTGCGTGGTGCTTTCACACCGAGCTGTGACAGAGCTGTGGTGAGGCCGTGCCCTGTGGGATTCTCTGGTGGAGGGGAATGTCACAGCTGTGCCGAGCAGCTACTACTGCTATTGCCCGCTCCTGTGGCACCAGGACAAACATTTGTCGGGAGTGTGGGTAAGTTTGTCATTGACACTGCTCAGCGTAAGAGAAATGCCTTTGCAGAGGAGGGCTGTGAGAGCCGCTGCCTTGGCTTTCCTCCGTGCTCTGTGTGGCAGGACAGTGCCCAGCAGTGGTGGCACAGGACCAGGGCCAGGGATTCGATGCTCCTGGGCATCAGCAGAGGTGCTGATCCTTTCTGTGCTAAACAGCCGTAAAGATTCAGCTGCACTGTTTGGTTTCTCAAATGCCATTTGCATAAGCATCTTGTTGTTGAATCAGTAGCAGTTTACTGAAGAGGTTAAATTCTGTCTTTTAAAAACAAAATCAGCTGTTTAGCTGCCAACAACAGTCATGCCCTCCCGTTGCCTCAGGGAGAATGAAACATTGGCATACTGACATATAAATCATATTGCTGGAGAATGCATTAACTCTCTTATTTATGGCTGCATTGTGCCACACAGTGCTGCATCTTGTAATTGAGAGCTCTCTGATGAATTCATTGCATGTAAAATCTGAGGAAATTATTATCACAGCACATTTCCATAATTAAAATATTTCCTACATTATAGATTTGAAAGGTCCCTAACTGCTGTATGTTACTGAAATGCAAAATTCTATGAAAATTTAAATACAAGCAAAACAAAGTTTTTATGCATAGTGAGTGTTTTTCATTTCAGTGAGTTGTTATAGTTGGAAAAAGCAATCCAATCATCTGGGTTCAGGGACCCTTTTTAGTTGACCCATGAAAGCTTTATTCATTGCTGATCATGAAGAGATGGGCAGCATCACACGTAGAATGATCTTTGCCTTGCCATTAGTGACAAAGCCAAATAATTAAAATTAAATCTATAATGAAACATTCATAGGAACTGTTACTTTCAGGACATAATTCTTACTAATGTTATGTTCCATTAAGAGTTATCCTAAGGTAATGTTAATATTTTGATGATTTGCAGCAAGTCAATAAAGAAACATTTTCTTTAGACAAAAGTTTGCAGTTTTAGATAACTCCTGAAGTCAGACAGTTCTGCAAAACAAAGAATTTTTTTTAAATTCCCCCTTCCATTCTCTCTTCAGTAAAAAATGGGCCAGAATATTGCAGATAGCATGGAGTAATGCTTTAACTATTAGCTGTGTGTCTGTGAAGTCCATTTGTCTTGTTAAGGCTGTCATTTGGCTACATTACCCTTTCTGTAACCCTGGAAACAACTTCAAATACTGTGTTATTTGAAAAGTCTAAAACATGACATGCCCTTAAAATGCTATGAAGGTTTTTTGAGACTCCCTGTACAAAGAAAGAAAAAAAATCTTTTCCTTTTACAGAGGGCATTAAACATGATGGGTGTGCATTGCTTTGTGAGAAAGCTGATCCTCACCTGTTGTAGATGGGGTGAGAAATGATGCCAGCAACATGGACTAGTTTCCTCTTTACCTGCCCACAGAGTTCAGGAATCCCTCTGTCTAAGGGAGGGAGAGGATTTTCAGGAGGCAATAAATAAATTTTGATCCCTCTGGTTAATACAGTTAAGGTCAAAGAGATTCTATCTGGAGCTATTTAAAACACTCTTAACCTGCAGACATACTGCTGTCAGTAGTGCTAAGTGCCTTATCTGGCTGAGGAGTGTGTACAACCCTTATGAAACTATTCTTAAGTATTCTGGTTACTATATTTAACTCTGTCTCATAACAAGACAAAAAGCACTTAGCTAAATGTAGTCCTGAAGTGCTTAATCCGATTAAGAATATTCTGTCCTTAGGTGTCTTCTACTAAGACTTTTTCTAGCTCACCATCCTGCTGCATCATGCAAAAAGCTTTTCTTTGTGTTTGGGCCTGTGAATTCTTTTGTGGCCATTTGTTCTGTTAGCGCCTGGAAGTCTGGTGTTGTCCAAAGGCATCGCTCACATCCATTAGGAAGCCTCATCCCCCCACCCCGGCAGCTCACACCAGCCTTCCTGCAGCGGGGTGTGATTGCTGCTGCTGGAGATGGGAGAATCTGGGCTTCATTTCCCAGTTTAGACTCAGTGAGCACTAACTGGAGTGTTGACTCTCTCAGTGACCAAACAACTTCCCTCAACTTGCTGCTATTCAAGCTGGCTGGCAGGCCAACCATGTGAATGAGGCAGAAAACCCACCTGGCTTCCCAGGAGGTTTCAGTTGTTAGACAGCCTGTGGGCAAAGTTTCTACATAAAGCTTTGCCCTCCAAGGTCGGGAAGAATCCTTTTCTTTGGCTGAATTTTTGCATGCTTAAGTCTGGATACAAAGAACGTTCCCTGAAAAATTGTGGTAGGTCTGTTTGTGTATCCACAAGCATTTTTTTCATAATTTAACTCATTGCTTTTAAAAGAGTTTTCTTTATACCTGCGTATCTCTGAATTTGTCACAGGTCACCAAAATTTCTGTAGGGGTCGTTCTTCTAGAGGAGAAACAACTGTATGATTGTGATAGAACAGCCCTGACGGACGAGCAGCAGTGACTGTGATAAGCACCTGAGCTCTGCAGTAGCTAAATAGGGTAACAAATAAGATCACACGCTCCTTTTGAACTGGAAGAAAAGCGTGTAACTTGACTCGTGTATGACCGCTGAGAGAACAGAAGCGGAGCAGATCCACTAAGTTTAAACTTGCTACGCAGGTGTTGTTATCAGTTGCAGCTTCACTGAGGGTGTCAGGAGTTGCGTGATATTTTCCCTGGAAGTTCATATTCCAAACTGAAAATAATCCCTTCATCCCAACTCCATTTTTTACTGGTTCACTTACTACTGAAGCACATCAGATATTTTATATGTTACCCTTATACTTCTGCTGTGTCAGAAGGTTCAAGCCTCTTGCAGTAACTTCCATATTACAGTTTATAGTGACTGTATCACTTTATCTGAGCCAATTTTTTCTTGAGCACATAGACTGACATAATTTCATTTATCGACCGTGAGCGGGAATTTGGCCTGTTTTCTCAAGTTACTCACCTAAACCTCCTCTGCAAGCCCTGTCACCATATCACTGTTCAGGATCTGTGTTGCTCATGGTTTTTAGCTTCAGCCACACAATGCCCCCACCCTGTCCTGGCTGCCCTCTCCAGCGTGCTCGCCTGACGTGTGTCCCTTGTAGCAGTTTTCCAGCCAGCTTCTTGTGTGCCCTTTCCTTTGAGGTGTTTTCATTAGCTGGAGAAATAAACAAGCTCTTGCTAGTCCTTTAGATGATCCGTATGAAAGATATGTTTCTTTGTTCACCACAGTTACAAGTATGCAACCCCTGGTAGTGGCAGCGAGCTTTTTGCAGTGTCCTGAGCTGATGTTGGAACTAATGGTAACAGGAAAAACAACCATGAACCTGGGCTCGGAGTGGGGAGGTCCTTCAGGGTCATTAACAGCTTGTTAAGCTTGGAAGCCCAGCACTTGGCTGTTGTGGGAGGTATTACTGCCAGCCATGGACAGTCTGGTTGTGTTGGTGTCCTTCCTGAGAGTGAAGCTCATCTGAAGCCAAACAAGTTTTGACAGTGATGGTTTCCGAGGGGGCAGTCCTGTGGTGTGGGTATGGCCAAGAGTTCAGGGTGTGCGTTGGTAAGCATTTAAATCCCAAATGAAAAGGAGATTTTGTGTGCCCCATCAGTGGCAAATCCTAATGGGAGGCCTTAGATCAATCCACTGGTGGGTGGTTGGGGCTTGCACTGACTTTCGCTGGTCATGTTTGTCTCAAAGGAGGTTTTGGTTGCACGATTTGATAGATGAGGTACAGATCATACTTTCTGGTTTTCACAGCACACATACCAGGTAAACTGTCATACTTTGGAAGAAGTCCAATCAATCCTTAGTGGCTCCAAGCTAGTAGGGCTATTCCACCACCCTGCTGAGCCACATGGCTTTTTGGACATGAGAGGTCACATTGGCTTTCCCAGGCTGCTCTGTGGCAGCAGTAGTGCCCTCAGAGCCAGGAGCCTGAGAACTTGGTCCAGTTCCCATTACTGGAGGCTTTGCTGAGCTTTCATCAGTCATATTGAGCATGTTTCTAGTTTGTGGTGGTAGACTTTTCTCAGACTGAAGTGATTGCTGCTCTCTAGGCTGTCTTGCCTACAACTATGTTTTAACTGGACTTGCTTTTCATTCCAGGATTAATTTTTCTCCGTCTCTATTTACATGGTGATAAGAAGTGCTAATCCCACTCTGTCAGTCTGGACTGATGAATCTGAGGAATAGAACAGGTAACTTCTAATTTGGCTTGTAGCTTTTGGTGACTCAAGCAGTAAGAACCACTCCCTTCCCATGGAGTGCGTTCATATTTTGGAACAAAAGAATTCATACAGTTTCTTCTGCCCAGGTCGTCTGCAGGGAGGGAGATCCTTGCCCTGGAGCAGGCAAGGAAGGATAAAAATGTGTAGCTTTTACTGTGAGCAGCATCTTTGACGTCCTGTCAGTTGTGGGTGGTTTTATTTTGTGCTACTTTTATAGCCACCAAATTCTTTGAGCTTGGAGTAGTCTCATAACAGAAAAAATCTTTTGGATGTACCTGTTGAAAGATGCCCCTTGGGTGCTGGGCAATGTGGGAGGGTTTTGTAGCGAGAGTGCTCGCTAGAGATGGAGGTAGATTGGTGCTGATGCTGGTTAGGGGTGCAGTTTCCTTTTTGGAGGTGTCTGAGGGAGGTAAAATCCAGCAGAGCTGACCCGGGTGACGCAGCGTGGAGTGACGGCAGCTGTCTCACCTGCACCCGCCTGGCTTCCCATCCCTTGGATTTAGCCCATCTGATTCACAGAAAGCAAGGCACCAGTGAAGAAGTTACCCTTGTGTTGAATTTTCCATCATTTGATGGGGCTCGAGAGTACTGTGTCCTTACTGGGAGTTGTTGCCAACTGTTCTCCTTACCTGTGCCGCAAGAACAGGTAAGACGAAGGCAGCAGCACGCAGTGGCTGTTCTGATGCAGGAGTATATAGAACCCAGGGAACCCAGGTCACATTCCCTTCTTTTCTTTGTTTAGTGCCAGGTGAGGAAATTCTAATTTGAAGTCTTGGGTATGAACCCCAGTACTGGGACACAGCTCTGATGATGTGGGGCAAGTCCACCAGTGCAAGCGGCAGCCATTGGCTGCAGGATGCTTTGGATGAACCTGTCTATCATATCATCTCTTAGATATCCTGATAGTAGCCTGCTGTTGCCTAATACTAATCCTTTAGGGGATTAGCACAGTTTCTTTCTTTCTTCTATGTCCTTCCACTGGGAAAGAAATCTCAGATGTATTTCAAGCAGCGCAGTGCTCAAAATCAACTGGCAGCCTGTGATTTCCCAAAACAGGGCCAGGCGAGGTGCTGCCTGGTACAGGCAGTGTCAAATCGGCTCTCACATTTGCAGGGAAGATGCTGACTGCTGCGCAGAGTTAAGTGCTTCGGCAGGATTCCCTATCCTGGTGCAGAGGGGAGTACAAAGGCAGGCTGAAGGGCTGCTGACTTTCAGCTCTTTCCCTCTAAAGTCATGGTTATTGTAGTTGTATGGGCGTGTAGCAACGGTTTCACTTCTCAAGCCTCAGTAGCTGACTGAGCAAGCAAGGAAGTACATAACAAGAGTGAAGTTTGGGAAAGGGAAGATTGAAACATCCAGGAGGTCTTAAAGTACAAACCAGTAAGCTCCATATTTTGACATTCTTACCAAGATCAGGAAATATGTTTAAGTACTTCTGTCTTTTCCTTCCAGAGCCCTGTGTTGTGTAAACGAACTGATGGATGAAGATGAGAAGGACAGGGCAAAGAGGTATGTCAGGATTCACGCCTGGAGGAGAACTGTAAATGCTGTGTTGTCCAGTGCTTGACAAAGTACTTGACAGTGCTGATGTCAAAGCCCCCATGCAGTTTACGCTGTGTGTATAGAGGACCACAAGCAACATAATGAAGTCACCATTTTCAGGCTTCTCATAGTGTTTGACCACTCCTACCATGAGTTAATCGGCTGAGTGGTCCTTAAATTACATTGTTGTGCCCTCAGGATCTCATCCCATGGCTATTTATTATCTTGATGCAGGACTCCTGACCTGAGATTTTATTGGCATCAAGCAGCATTGCCCAGCTGGGGTAGAGTTCCCCATGAAACTTAGAGAACGGTCCTGCTTTAGCATGGGTATGAGTTAGTTTCCCATCAGAGAAGCATTTGGCTTAGTTCTAATTAGTCATCATACACAAGTGCCAAAACAGAGATGGCTGTGAACATAAATGCTGGATCTGAGAACCTCCAAATGCCAACCTGAATATGAATGGAAATGCTTTCTGCATACCACACTCAGTCTAGATCACAGGAAGTATGTATCATCATGAATACACTCGTAAAGCAAATTAATTCCTCCTGGAAAATGTTGTATGAAAATAGGATTTTCTCAGATATGAGTATTGGAAAGAACATTTTGGAAGAAACTGAATGGATTCGCTTCCTCGTTTATTGTTTTTAATGGAGGGGAAAACCCTAATGAAACATTCTTAAATTGTATTAATGTGAGCTGGAAACTAGTCTGTGGTTCTGCAGTTAGACTCTCAACACAGTGTTCTGCTGGGACAGGGCAGTTCACCTCATCCTGGTTCGAGCTGCAGGTCTTTCATTCTGCTTAGTGGCGTTTATGTTTCTGTCGCTCAGGGCATCACGCAACAAATCTGAAAAGAAGAGGAGAGACCAGTTCAATGTCCTCATTAAAGAACTTTGCACGATGCTGCAGGGCCATGGCCACCCTCTCAAGATGGACAAGTCCACAATACTGCAGAGGACCATTGACTTCCTACAGAAGCAGAAAGGTACTGGAGGGTGCTGGCTCTGCATCTGCCCAGCAGACAGTGTCCACTCAGAAAATGAAAACTCTTTTTCCCAAGCGCCTCAGACCTCCAGAGAGGGCATGAACCTAAGTGAGGGGCAGAATAAGGCACAGAAGTTGGCCTCAGGAAATGGGCTAGAGTGCTGACTAGTTAAATATAGACAGATTTGAAAAGATACTCTTTAATGTAGAGACATCGTTTCCCTCACTGGCCTCCACATCCCTTGGCCTGCTTTGTACACTCTCAAACAGAGCATGAGGGAGGAAAAACTGAGGAACAGCACCCACTACAAAAGCAAGGGGAAAGGGAATTCTAAGCCATGTTCCCAGGTCCCCTGAATTAGGAGATGACTGAGTGCAGCCTTTCCTGCTGCCTGGGCACTCCTGAGAGCCTTACTGAAACAGCTCCAGAGTCACAGACACCCTCTGCTCACAGGAATGCTCTACCACTCTGAAATTAGCCCTCTGACCATAATTTTGGAAGGATATCTTCAGACCACCCAAAATGTCTCAATTTCCCTTTCCCTTTCTTGATTTCTAATGTATTTGTATCGTGATGACATAGAAGATGACTTTTGCATGCAAGAAGGATTTGTGTGAAAAATGATCTGTGGATGATTCCTCTGAAAGCCCTCTTTAAAGAAATCTAGTGTTACTTGAAAAGGAAAAAAAAATCTAAGTAGCATGACTCATGTTGCTTTTTTGATGTTTTCTCTTTAAGAAATCACAGCACAGACAGAAGCCTGTGAGATTAGACAAGACTGGAAGCCTTCATTTCTTAGCAACGAGGAGTTCACCCAGTTGATGTTAGAGGTAAGAAGAAATTAAAGCTGCATAGATTAGTGAGAAGTAATCAGTTCAGTGGAGTAGTTCGGAGACGTACAGTTCTTTTTCACCTGTAGGTCCCAATGCTAATGATTTCTACTCTTGCTGGCACATACAATACAAATCTGACAGAGACCAATGTGCTAAATGTGCTTTGCAGACACAGAATTAAAAATATGATTGCTTCCCCTGAAAGATAAACAGCTTTTCATTTAGGAATGGAGACTGATTTGGCCCAGTTTTGGCCTGGTGAGAGAGGAAAAAGAGAATTTCCCTTCTCAGAAGAGCTACTGGAGCTAGCAGTTTTAGGGAAAACTTGAAAGGACCTGAAAAAGCAGAGCAGCTCTCTTCCTCCCCCATCCCATTAGCCAGGCAGCATCGCCCTGCTGCCTCTGCAGCTGCTTGCTGTGCGCTGCTGTACTTGTGATGTGAGTGCTGTCTCTTGTGCTTGGATTGCCTTTCAGTGCATTCAGGAGAACAGCTCTGATATTCCCACCTCTAAAATGCTTCACTGGTCTAGAAACACCCCACAAGCCTACATTCCTCCTTTCTTCAGGCCGTGACTCTGGGTCTGTGCTCGTGCTCCTCTGGCGAGGACATCTCCTGCCCTGTGTGGGCAGCTGCTGCTCTTTGCCCCACCAAAATAAGGGTGTATGCTGGGCTGAGCTGGGAGGTGCTGCAGTGTCTTAGTTACTCCTTTTCATCGGGATGTCATGACTCACCTCCCTGGAAAAGTCTGTTCATTTTTTCTGGGAATCTCTCTCACCAAACAAGCTAGCTTGTTCCAGCTGAATCAACACAAATTCCCCCCTTAGATGGGAAGTGACGGGGAGAGCGAGCCCTTTAATAACTGCTGGCTTGCTGGACTTTGTTAGACTTAACCAGTTAAGCAGTTTGCTTAAAATCAGTGGGTTTTTTCCCAGAGAGGACTTATTTTGAGGAAAGGCAGTGAGGTGGGGGAGACGGTGAGTGCTGCATCTTTGGCTCCCTGTATCTAATCTGTAGAGCAGCCTAACTGTGTCTTTAGAAGAGCTGGCTTTGTGCACAGTGCTGACCAGCTATTAAACCTCCCAGATCTTGATGTTAGAGAAGAATAGGGACAGACACTGAGTAAATGGTACAAGGAGATGTTGTGAAGAATAGGGAGAACACTCAAGGAGGAAAGCACAGGCAGTGACTTAAAAGGGACAGAGAGCTTTGACTCTGGGACAGAAACCACTGTGAACATGAAAGGGGAAACAAAACAAGCCTTAACATTGTTTTGTCACTAGCCTTACAAATCAGTACTTTAATCAAAATAAATAACGCTTTAAATCTTCTCCATATTGTCCATAAATTGCTAAAAATAAATCATTGTATCATTTTTCCGTCTCTGCTTATCCATCCACCCATCCATCCATCCATCCATCCATCCATCCACAGTGCTGGGTTTGCCATGATGATATCTACCATCTCCTTACGCACCGAGTTTGTTAACTGTTGTGTAACTCAGAACACATAATGAAGTGACTGAAGTCACTGGGATTGTGTGGGTGTTGAAATTCTAAGCATCACTGTTTTGCTTCATGTTAAATAAATGCTCACTGGGTGAAAAATACAAGTCAATTTAAGAATAATGAGCAAATAAGAATATAAAAAGAATGTTGAATTAGACAGCATGTATAATTTTTGGTTTTCCACATTGAACTATCATTTCTGTGAATAATTTCTGCTAAGTTTAGGCTGTTGGAAGCATCACTAAAGAATCAATTAGCCTATTATATTCTAAGTTGCTACCTTTCATAATTCTTTCTTTTTTTCTTTTTTGTCTGCCTATTATCATTAGGCACTGGATGGCTTTCTCATTGCTCTTACCACTGATGGGATTATTATTTATGTATCTGACAGTGTTTCGTCTCTGCTCGGACACTTACCGGTAAGTTCTGACCACTCAATATGAGGCTCGTTATTTCAGGACTGAATCTATGCTCTTCTAATGACACTGGGATTTCCTACTTCTAGCCCATAGTCTTCAGTAACAAATGTGTGGCCTCAGAGCTTTCTGGGAGAATTTCTAGAAAACATTTAGCTGTTAGGTGCATAAATTTCAGCTTGGCCCCTCAAAAACATTTTTCTCTTAATCTGGTGCCAAGCATGAGGCACCAACAATGCTATATAAGAGGGCAGATTTAAGCACATGGTTAGCTGAATGTCCTGGTGTGCAAAGAACAAATCCGTGCTGACATTTTGGTAGAACCCCTTTAGTCAGGATGTGTGGGTTGATCAGCACTGAATCAGTTGCAGGTCAAGATGATTTTGCCAGATGTTCAACCTAGAAGACAAATGGAGGATGTGAGGAGGAACTCTCTCACTTCTGTCATGCTTCCAAAGGAAAATGTTTCACATTTTCATTTTGAAATGATACTTATCATCATGTTACATTCCTGTGGTACCAGGGTTTCTTCTCCTACTTATGTCTCCCTGAACTGAGGGGGCAAACTCTGGGACTCGTTCAACCTTCTGCAAATAGATAGTAACCCTGGGGTAAAATAACCTAAGGGCTTTGTTCTACCCTAGATCCATCTGCAGATTGACTGGGCTTCCTTGTCTTAGGCATCAGCTAGACCGGCAGCGTCTGTGCTCTGCTGAGGGATGAAAAGGTGTGTGGTTGTGTCAGGCTGTACTGCTGAACATGACAAAGCATTCTTTTGTATCAGTCAGATTTGGTGGACCAAAATATATTAAACTTTCTGCCTGAGCGGGAACAGAGCGAAGTGTACAAGCTCCTTTCTCCACATGTGCTCATGACAGATCCTGTTGCAGCTGATTTTCTAAATGGTAAGCTCTGCTCTTGTCTGTCAGTCAGGGAAGTTTGCCAAAGGCAAACAACTCCCAGGGGAGCCTGCACAGGGTTCTCCAGCTATTTAATTCTTCTGCCTGCCACTGCTGTTTTACTGTATTTGTGGGTTTTAGTGCATCACATCATCTAATGTTCCTGTGTGTTCCCAATACTTGCTCTTTGATTTGGGCAGTCTTTGTTTTACTGTCTGCTTTGTCCCATAGGACAGTGAAGTTGCCCTCATTACATGTTTTTCCTCCTACCTGAACAGTCCATCCAGATCTGTATTGCTGGCTGCTGTCCCACCCCCAGAATGTCTTTTTCTCCTAGAAAATGTCCCCAGCACCAGAGCAGGCAGCAGTATCTTCCTATCATCCATGTTTTACCAAGGCTGTGTTGGCTTCCCTCTTTCCCAGTGGGTTCACCATGTCTGAGCAGCACTGGCCTCCCCTCCCTGCTGCCCCGTGAGCATCACTGGGAGCTGGGCAGCCCTTGTGCTGATGGTGCTCTGCCCTGAGGGTGGTTTCCCTCTGGCTGAAGGCCGCGTGGTCTAATCCATAGAGTTCAGACTTGGGGCAGAAAACTGGATGAGAGCTTGGCACGGTGCCCTCCACTGCTAATGGAGAGGCTTAGGGTGAGTTCAGTGCCCTTTGGATCTGGGTCCTACTGAGCAGTGCCAGAGCAGAGTACTGCAATGTCATGTAACTGCTTTGTGTGAAATTCTGCAAACTATGAAGTCAGGGGAAAATCCCCCTGATCGGTATAGCCAGGGCTTCACTCCCAGAGTACTGGAGCAAAGCCATTTGAGAAAGGGTGAGAATACATTTCCTTAAACAGAACCAGCTGATAATTGCTCCTAGTATTTATATATTTATTGTCGGGTTTCAAGAGCATCCCAGAAGGGTGTACTCAAATACCACAGCACAGGGTTGGTGTAAGCACCTGATAAATTCATTATGTGAGTGTGTTAAAGTACAGACTTCTAGTAACATTGCCTGTGTCTCCCTCTCTTTCTCTCATTTCAGCAGAAAAACAAATAGAGTTTTGCTGCCATTTAGCAAGAGGCAGTTTAGATCCAAATGAACCCCTGATGTATGAATATGTGAAATTTGTAGTGGATTTTAAATATTTTACTCATGGTAAGTTACTACTCCAGCCTACCTTCTTCACCTCTTTCATTTAAATTGTGTCCTTATCTGTAGCATCCTAAAGACCTTGTTCAGCTGAAAATGCCCTGTAATGGAATGAACTGTGGATATATTGAATATTTTTTTCATACGAAAGTGGTGGTGAGGCTGTTGTTCAGAAGAGTGCACTCTCCTGCATGCTCTGCCTAAAGCTGATACCAGACTGATAACACCTCCATTTGACCCACTGCCAATTGTAAAGCAGCCTACTTATTCAAATAACCGGTAAAATATGCTATTCTGTTTCACTCGTGTCAGTGAAATGACACTTTACAAAGATTAAATAGTTTGATATACCTGTAAAATCCTGAATCTTGCAAATTTTGACCTGGAGAAAGGCTGACAGGGAGACTGCAGCTGCACACTGCGAGCTGCTCAGAGCTGTCTTATAAAGCTCCCCTGCAAGCCAGGGGTAGGTGGTTACAACTGTGTAACTTGGAGCCTAAAGGGTCATGCTTTAAATAACGTCAGCGTGTATCAGTGTGGCATCACTTTGTGGGTAGGAGGAGTTGGTTGCTGGGGTGTCATCAGTCACTGTACCTGTCTTAACATGAAAAAAAAGCTCTCCTTCCTCATCTTCTTAAATAAATTGTCTGGTTGTGTCTAGTGCCTACACCCTCCTGTAATGGCTTTGAGTCAGCTATTGCACGAGCTTTCAGGTCAGCCACGGAGGAGCAGATTTGCCTCGTAGCGACTGTTCGTCTTGTCACACCGCAGTTCTTAAAGGTGAGACCCCTGTGCCTGCACCTCCCCCCTGCGTGGGGCTCAGTGGGAGCCATGCTGAGGCAACCTCTCAGGGAGCAGCACTGAGTGTTTGTGCAGGGGGTTTGTAAAGAAGAGAGGACACCGCTGCGTTTGGGAGTGGGAGATGACATAAGTGTGTATTTTGGAAAGATGAGGTATAAAGCGAGAAGAGGTTGTTGTGTGATGGGCTGTCCCAGCGCGGGCAGCCCAGGAAGCACCAGGACAAGGTGACCAGCTACACCACTTGGGAATTTTCAGCCTTCAAAGGCATGCATCCCACCACCCTTGGTGTAAGGAAGCCACTTGCACCTTAAAACAGTCTTTCATGGTTGAAACCGTGTTTCATGGGATCTTTCTGCTGGTCTGTAAGTGTCCCGTGGTGCAGTGCAGTGATGACAGGGATAACAACCGTAGGTGCTGCTTGCTCAAGGGGGACATTAGCCACTTAATTATCCATATTCACATACCAGTATTTGCAAAAAGTTGGGAAATTTTGCCTACAGAGTGCAAGATGAGACCCTTGGACTATTTATCCTAGCTCTGAAATTCAGCTCAGGGTAAATTATTCAGCCACTTTTCATCACTTCATGCATCGATAAAACAAGGTGTATACGTTCCTTAGAGGAAAATAAGTCAAGTGCTTTATAAGCACTGTATTTTGCTATGGTTTATTATGTCAACAAGATGTATCCTTGGTCTTGATAGCAGGCTCCTTTTGTCATTTCATAGAATTAAATGTCTCAATGTGCCAACTGTGTTGCAGGAGCTCTGCAACGTTGAAGAGCCATGTGAAGAATTCACGTCGAGGCATAGTTTAGAATGGAAGTTTTTATTCTTGGACCACAGGTAAGAGATTTGGGTTTAATCACTGAAGAATAAATAAACTGCAGTTTAAAAATAAGAAACTTTGTGTAGCTATTGCCAGAGATCCCAAGTGGAATAGTTCTAATTAGGTGAGACTGAGTAAGTAACACTATTGTGAACTTACTAGGCATCCTTAAGTGCTTCACTCTTTTCCATATTTTAGGCAGGTAAGAAACCATAAAAAATGCTGGAAAACATCTAGAAAAATGTCAAACTTCACCAAGATAATAAGTCATTGAAACTGAGCAGTGTCAGTCCTGTTCCCTGTGTGGGTTTAGTTCTTTTGTTTTACCACTACAGCTTCCAGGCATCCTTCTAAACCTTTTGCGGTGTCAATAAGTTTTTGATTTTTCACCTTGAGAAATGATAGAATTTATGAAAATAAAAGAAAAAGCAGCAGATTCTAAGATTTAATTTATATTAGTTTTTGACAATGCCATACGGTGGGCTAGGATTCAGCTTGGTGAATGAAACAGACTGGAACTGCTTTATTAAGCTGATTAATATAGGATTCATTTTCTTCAAAAGAAGCTAGAGGGTTTTATTCACTTTTACTTCTCTGTATTTGACATATATGCATAAGCACATTGCAAAATCCTACTCTTTCCGCTATCCCTCCTCTTGTGAGCTGTGCAAAGATAGTCATTACTAGAAATAGAAGACTGGTAAATAAGGCTGTAAGGAAAAAATATCCGTCAGGAAAAAACCCTAAATATCATCTGCACATGTAAAGCAAGAAAGAGAGAGAGCAAATATAAATTATTATTAATTTATAGCTTATTTATTAATTTTATAACTTTCGTTTGTATAGTACACAAGATGTATCCCTCGCACATCATGTTTTGAAGCATGGAGGAACTGACCCTGTGACAGCCCTACAATTGATGCTGTTTAGTTTGGGACAGTCAGATCATTACTTGTGTATGGAAATCTTGCTGGAGTGGCTTTGTTAGACTTTAATTGGCCTGTCCAATAATGCATGTTTTCAGAATCAACTCATTAACGTTAAGATTTGTAAAAGAGCCCTAAGCCCCTTACTTCACTGATGGAGTGAGGTGCTGTGTCCCAGCAGCTCCTGTGAATAAGGTGAGCAGGAACTACTTTGAAACCTGACAAAGAGTCTTCTGATGAATCTGGGTTATGACTCAGAGAGGAATCTCTGTGCCAGGTGCTTGCAGCCACTCCAGTCCCACTGATACCCCCAGCGAGGAAACCATTGTTATTGAGAGGAAATTAAACTGATGCAGATGCTGAGGCAGAGTTTGTGACAGCCCCAGATGCGAGCGGTGAGCTCAGACCCAAGAATGAGCATGAGATCGTGGGGGTTGTCTCATTTAATCATTGATTCAAACTGCTCTCCAGTACAGTCTGCAGGATGCTGTGAAATGTTGCTGTTTCTTGCTTATTTGCATCAACACAGGCTGCCTGATGCTGAGATATGCCATCAGCAGGGGCAGAGGGTTCCCAGCAGGAGCTGGAATCGGGACCTTTCCTATCATGATCACAACTTAAATCAGAGTAAAGATAGATAGTGCAAAAAGGATTCCGCAGATCTGGAATAACATGAGAAAAACAGGGAAAATCTGTATTCTGGGTCTTTATGTAAATATGTGTAGAGGAAGAAAGCCTGTCAGTTTTCATAATGATCTGTTCCTCTTCTGCACTGTGGTACTGTTCTTATTTTCCCTTCATTTATTGAAAGAGTGCATCTGAAAGGCTCTCTGAAGACTCTGCATTCCCATTTGCACAGTGAGTTGCAGGTCTCAAGGCTGGAACTTAAGCTAACAAAACGCTTTTAAATTGCTCCACAGGCAAGGCAGCTCCTTGTCAAATGACAGATGAGGAAAATTTTGTGATTGCTTTCTCATATAAAGAGCCCTGGCAATATTCAGGAAAGTATACTACTTTCCTGATCAGCTTAAGTGTTTATCTGATGTGCATCTCAAAGACATTATTGTATTGAATATAAGTATGTCATCAAAAATAGGAGAGAAAGTGATGTGTTCTTCCAAAGAGACAGCAAGGAAGGACACTTTCATAAATACACATATTATCATCATTAACAGAAATCTGGGTCACATGAGGGAAAGGAACACAGTGTCTATGAAAAGTTACTTGAATAAGTAAAGCTGCATTGTGGCAGAGACCACTGCGTACTCAGCACACACTGTTTCAAGAGATTTGCTATTGAGAGGAGGACTGGCTTTCCCAGCTAACCCCTTGTGCTGAGACTCAGGAACTCCTGCTCAAACCTTGATCCTCTTGGGACTGCTGTTTAGCAGACCCCTAGCTGTCCTCCTTTTCTCCCCATTTCCCATCTGGTGCCAGGCTGCCTGCAGTTGTGGGGAAGAGGGAGGTTATAGACCTGCCTGACCTCTCTTAAGTTGACTAATCTATGTGCACTGTGCCTCTTAGGAGTGCAAATGTAGAGCTGGGTGCCTTAACCAAGAGAGAAAACTTCCCACATTAATAACCAAGGAACTCAGGACTGATCCATCCAAATCCAAATGTACTATATTTAAATCACTTTTTACTTCTATTCTTAGCCACTTTATGGCATTCACCTTCCTTAAGAGCACTCAGCACACCAAGAGAAAGGCAGCGGGGGAGGCAGGTTTGATAAGGCACCATCCCCTTCAGCCTGCCCTGTTATGAGTCATTAACCATTTCACTAACACACCACCACCTTATTCCTGAGAAACACACTGATCTTGGCAGGTGAGCCCCACACTATCAGCATATCCTGCAGCCAGAACAAACAAATCTAGAATTGACAGCACAATAGTGAGGTAAGTCACTGCAATGTGCCTATCTAAATACTTCATTGATTCCTTATCTACCTGCCAAAGCTAAAGCAGTCCTAAATCAGCCCTGTACCTATTGCTATCTATACTACCAGCACAGGAATTTTTGCTGGCTATAATTTCCCAAGTTTTTCCATGAGAGCCATTGCTTTTTCTCTTACCCAAGCTGGTCCTGACACACACTGCAGCTTCCCACTTGCTCTTTCTTCTACAGTTCCTACCCAGATGACATTTACATCCAACCTACTGGATAATTTTACTCCAGCTCCAAGTTGTTATGCACAGGAGCAGCTGTAGCGTTTCTCAAGCTGCGTCTCACAAGCATCCTTAATGAATTGAGTCACTCGCATACGTACGTGCCTTTCTCTACACCCACGTAATGAATAGGCTATGAAACAGTAAACACACACCTTTTCATTTTCTCAGTTTTTACCTCTCCCTCGCTGTGGTTTTTTTTGTTTTGTTTGTCTGTGACGATACCTTGTTGCGTATATGAAAACCCATTCCTGATTTCTCTGCCGAGTGAACGATCGAGGTTTTTGTTGCTGGTATCACAGCCTATCTGCCAGGGTGTCAAAGCATCAGGTTTTGTGCTCATTCCCTCCCCTTTGCTTCCTTTCTAGGGCTCCACCTATTATAGGATACTTACCCTTTGAGGTTCTGGGAACGTCAGGGTATGATTACTACCACGCAGATGACCTGGAGCTTCTTGCTAGGTGCCATGAACACTGTAAGTTCCCCTCCCTCTGCAGCCTGCCTGTCTTTGATCTCGTTTGTCACTTGTGCAAAACCCTTTACTGTCGTCACAAAAAGCATCTTCTTCACAAGGGAATTCTCTCTTTCCATGGCAGACTGTCATAGCTGATGCTTACCAGGGAGGTTGAAATCTGCAGAATTCACTCAGATCAGGAACTGTGTGTGCAGGTTTCCTAAATTGGCAGATATCTTGTTTGAGCACAGGTTGTCTGAGATTAATAGATTGGAAGTCAAAACTTTTCCCCCTCTGCCCCCCGTTTGTGAGGGCAGCCCCAAAACCCTGTGAGTTTTGTTGATTGTCGCAGTTCATGTGTTCTTGCTGTTCACCCTGGGCTCCAGAGCCAGCCATGGGGCTCAGCTCACCCAAAGGCCTTCTGAAAGCAACATTTGGTTCATCTACCTGTGCAGCTTGTTGTTGTGAACCTCACTTACTCATTAGTAAAATGCTTCTGGAGATTCAGAATTTTTTTAAATACAGAAGTACCAAATACAGTTTCCCTGTGGGTAAAGATGGCTCATGTTTGGTCGACCTGAAAGTAAAGCAGCAAAGCAGAAGAGTCCACTTCAGGCTGATGTATGAACACCAAAGAAGGTCGACTGAGTTCATCTTTGTGCAAGGAGAAATAGTGTGACCTGTGGGAGCCAGGGCACAGGGAGAACTTCGCTTGAGGACCATGGCAGTGCAGCCTGCTGAAGGCTAGAGCTGATGCAAGGAAGGGCAAGAGGTGTCTGCATATGTGGTCTACTCTTAATCAGTGTGCTGTTCCTACCAGATGTGAGATGCCTGACCCCTGAGTTCATGATTTTTCCATTTTATTAGGTACATTTCAGACTGAGATATTTAGCCAGAATTATGTCTGTCCTCCACTGGCTTTGCCTTGCCAGGCAAAAATTGCAATAAAAAATGACTACATACTTTGTAAAGTGCATCTAGGTAATCAGATATTTTGCTAAGAAATATTACTTAGAGGTTTCCTGTGGGAAAACTGTCTGTTTGTCTCTCTATTATCTCTGCTTGAAAGGAGAGTGTTTTGTCAAAAGGAAACAAGGACACCCCAGAGAGTGGAGCAAGTGGGATGCTGTAATTACTCTGAGATGCAGAGCAGTGCAATGGAGGGACCAAGAAATTCCACAGCCCCCCAGCCCACTGGAGTGAGACAAGCTGCTTCACCTCTGAGTTGCAAACCACCCCCATCTCTACCAAGTACCCTCTTCCACTTTACATGTATGAGGTGCTGAAGGGCCTAGTAGAGGATGGAGAAGATGACTTCTCTGATTGTGGTTTCCCTGCTGATTTCTCTGCCCTGTCAAGGCAAAGCACTGGTACAACAGCTGTCAGGGAGGCAGGTTGCCTGACTGAGTGCACGGAGGAGGCTGTGAAAGGGGCAGACACAAGTCGTGTCAAACTCAGCAAGTGTGTCGATGGGAATATTAATGGAGTGTTTTAATTGCTTTAACATACAGTACTTCTTAGTCCTGTTTGCTTAAAAGACCATTCAGACAGAAGTGACCTACTTAAGCAGACAGTGTCCTTTTAGTAATGTGTGTGTGCAGTTTGATGTAGACACAAACTATACTGAGAGAGGGTCAGATCACTCAGCAGAGAATTGATTGCATGATTTATGTTCTACATCCCTACTAGCCATGGATTTCTCTTACATATTAAAGGAGTATTTGCACAACACACCTGTAGGAAAGGGTCTTTTAATTTTACTGCACAAGGGAAGGTGCTGGCAAAATGACTTAGAGAAGTTGCTCCAGGACATCTCTGCCATGACCAGGAGCTGAGGGATCCCCGGCACAGCATGTTAGCCAGAAGACCTCTGCTAAGTGCTTCATCTAAAGGCCATCACTGTTAATGGGATCACTAAAGAAGTTAGTCCTGATGTTTTAACAAAGTAGAGTGATGGTGAGTGAACACACATGGGATAGTGTGGCTTGATAAGTTCCTGTTTGTTAGGTTGACAACTCTGGGCAGGCATCTTGCCTACTGCCAAGTGAAATGGATTTGCTGAAACCACATTTGTATGTTAGTTTACATTAATTATTGGTATTTTATGTGAACATGTTTCATTTTGTACTCCCAGCAGTCCAGAACAATTAGTGTGGTTAATGTAGTTTCCCTCATTATTTTCCAGTTGAAGTACAGCACTTGAGATTTTTCTGGATGTAGGCTGATAATATGTACCAGGTCTGCTGTATTTAGGTGATCTCTTGGAAGAAAACTCTCAGTTAAACTGCTAAAACTCCACTATCTTATTGTTTATTGGGATTCTGACTTCACACCTTCAGTGTCTGAAATGCATTCTCATGTACATTTGAAAGGCAAGTACTTTAAATAGTGTTATTTATGCTTATTTCAGGGGAGCCCATGAATAAATTATAGGTATATAGCTAGTGATAGTTATACCAGTTATAAGAGCAATCTCAAAATACCAAAGGGCACTCCTGAAAGTTAGCAGAAAAGGACCCAAACAAAAGCTGAGTACATGGTTGTGTATCATCTGTCGTGTTTATAAAGCTCAAGAACCATTTTGGCACTGCCACAGTCTGTGAGAGGTGTGTGGCACTCAGTGGTTTTTCTAATTACCTTTGCACCAGGAAATCCCTGTTTGCTATAAATTGCTTTCTTTTTTTGTTAAACAGTGATGCAGTTTGGAAAAGGAAAGTCCTGTTACTATCGATTCCTGACCAAAGGCCAGCAGTGGATATGGCTGCAGACACACTACTACATCACCTACCACCAGTGGAATTCCAAGCCCGAATTCATCGTTTGCACTCACCTGGTAGTTAGGTAGGACCAAGCACCAAACCCTTCACAGAGTGTGTCTCAGTGTTCAGCCATTACTTTTTCTAGTTCTGTTTTGTGTTAACCAAGTATTTGCTGTGCCTACTGACACATTAAGATGGAATGTAATTCCATAAAACTATTATGACAGGGAACATGTATTTTCATTACTCTTTTTCCTTTTTCATCAACCGGGCCAAAAACCTGGAAGCCACTGTTGGCCAAGTATACCAGAGTGTTACATTCCCCTTTTATCCCTAGTGATGACATGGCCATTGAAAGATTTAAAGCTGTTAAGAATCAGATGGCTTTATGGTCATGAATGGGATTGTATATCTCCTACAAAACGTTTTGATCAGAGTTTTAAATATTTATGACTTGAAGTTAGCTGCTGGCTTGCAAGCCTTATTCCTCACCCCAAATCCAGCTCAAGATCCTCCCCTAGTGGAAAGCTGCTTACCCTGAGTTCCAACCCATGCTGGAAGGCAGTGCATGTGTGGGATGCTCTGTGATATGAACCTTCTGGAGGGGGATCTGCTTTATTACCACTGCCATCATTACCACTCAAAAAAGACTATGTTTAGAGTGAGAATATATTTACTGAAGGACTTGAAAAAATAGTGACACACTGGTTTGCCCTATTAACTTGAGTAGACTTATTGCTCCCCGTGTATTTCTTTATTGTCAGGAATCAATTTGTGATATTTTTCTGGTCCCCCTCTTTTTCTTGTCAAACATCTAGAAGAGCAAACAATAGTAAACTGGAAGTACATGGACCTGTTGGAGTGAGTCAGAGGAGGGCCATGAAGATTATCAGAGGGCTGGAGCATCTGTCCTGTGAAGACAGGCTGAGAGAGTCGGGGCTTTTCAGCCTGGAGAAGAGAAGGTTCTGTAGAGACCTTCGAGCCCCTTCCAGTACCTAATGAGCACTCAGAGAATCTTTAAAACATCCTCTCTGTTTTATCCCAGTGGTGAATCATGTGGCATTGTTTAGTGTAAATATTTTATTTTTTAAGAGGGGGAAAAGTTAGGAAAGCAAATATACACTTTTAGAGGCACATTCCTGGGGATTCCTGCACCTTGCATTGCACCTGAGCAGCTGCTGGTTTGTATTTGGAGCTTCCAGTGGAGTGCAGAGTGTTAACTCTGATGCAGCACATTGTGTGCACCCTCAAAAAGAGGGAACTGAGTTCCTCCTCCCGAAGGCACTGGCATAGGGATTACTGAGCTACTGTACCACATGGAAAAAAATTGATTCTTGTTCATCACGAGGTCAGAAAATGAATGTACTCTTGTTATGGCAGTTTACCTGCACAGAAGCTGTAGGACCATTTTTCTGCCTGATTATGGAAAATGGGAAACTCTTTTATTAGGAAAATTGTATTGAGACAAAGACACTCATTTTGTCTTCAACAGCCAAGTGCACTTTGCTTTTAGATTAGTTTCACTTGAAGGCATCCAGGGCCAAAATTTGCAAAGGAGCATCTACTTTTGTGCTTGGAATGATCCTACAGGCTCTGCAGTCCTGGGTGCAGTGGGATGGGACACTGCTCTGTTGTTTCTAATCTGTGGAATTACTCACAGATTGCTAGGCTCTATGATGATGTTTCTTTAAGTACCTTTTATATTGAGAGAGTGTGAGTGCGTTGTGCAAAGCTTGGGACTCAATATGAAAACTTCACAGCAGCCTGTATAGTAAGATAGTTACCACAGAGTAAACAATATCTAGACTGAAAAACTGGATTTGAAATGGGTTTTGGTTTTTTTGGGTTTTTTAGTTATGCAGAAGTTCGGGCTGAGAGAAGGCGAGATCTTGGCCTTGAAGAGTCATCAATTGAACTGGCATCCTCTTCTCTAAAGGTACCGTGTCCCTTCACAATTGAGTAAGAAGGTGTTTAAACCAAACCGAGTAGTCACTTACCAATCTTAGGAAAATACCTGTTATTGCTTCTCCTTTTTCTTTATTCCCATTTTGTTCCAAGCCTTCAGCTGGGTTATGACTCAGGCAGATCCTGAGAAGTTTTCCTCTGCATAGCTCTAAACTGCCCAACTTGGCTCAAGGCAGGCTGGACGAGCTTTGAGCAACCTGGTCTTAGTGGAAGGTGTCCCTGCCCTTAGCAGAGGGATTGGAACTAGATGATCTTTAAGGTCCCTTCCCACCCAGAGCATTCTCTGATTCCATAATAACTGCAAATTCAGCAGTTCAATTTCTCTGTTCTGCTCCTTGTTATCTTTCTGAGACCATTACACAAACAATAGGTTAAACCTCCCTAGCTCAGAAGCAGAAAAGCAGAGCTGGAGATGGAGGTTAGATTGCTGTACCTGTCACCCTTAGTAAGGTGCAGAGGATCCAAGTGCAGGGCAATATTACAGGGTACCTGTTTTGCTAGTGCCAAGTTGTCACTGATAATCAGATGAAGATTGGAAGCGAAGGGAAAACGCTTATCCCAGATTTTAGTTCTACTGTTGGATCGCATCAGGTGTAGGATTGTGACCAGGGCATTGACTTCTATGGCTTGAATCAGTCTGGCATCTCAACACACCTGCCCAGTTGACAAGGTCACTGCTCCACATATCTTCCAGGTCATCTCTCTCCATCTCTGCAATGGATAAAACCATTCCCCAGCCAGCCCCTCGGGCTGCCTTCTCTCATTCCCCCCTGCCACCACACCCCAGTGTGCCACAGCCAACCAGCTGTGACACTCCTGAAGAAATCCGGCAGAAAGGAGCTGACTATAAAAGCTTATTTCCTTTTGCCCACAGCTCTGTGGGCAGGGAAGCAGGAGGGTGGCACGCTGGAGCAGGGGACACAGGCAGGAATCCCCATGGCATTTGCCTGACACGTGGTGTGTTCCTTCCACTGCTGCTCACTGCCATCAGATGGGTGTCCCAGGCACCTCCCCAAGCCGGGGTGCCTCGGGCATGATTCTGAAGGTCGTGTCTACCTGAAGGCTTTAGGGTGAACAGAGTGAGCGGGATTTGGTGCTGCACACCCAGCCGGTTGTTTTTCTCTGCAAACAAATGGTCAGGGAGGTGGAGGTCCCCTCCAGTGCCATCCCCCCCCGCACTGACGATCTCACCGCTTGTGCTTCGCTCCCCGCAGAGCCACAGCAGCTACCTGGACGTGGGGCAGTGCGGCAGCAGCCAGGACGCCAGCCGGGAGGGAGTGTCACTGTCATCCCACAGCTCCCGGCGCTCCTCGCACACCGCCCTCTCCGACTCCACGTGTAGGTGCCAACGCGGCCGGGGACAGCCCAGCATGGGGGCAAGGAGTGGGCTGGAGGGCAGAGCAGCCTCCAAAATACTGGGGTTCTGCTGGAGGTGACCGAGCCGGGGTGGGAGGGAAATGCTCAGCACTGGGACCGACATACCGTGTCATAAAAAGTTACGGTGCAGCAACAGAGCCACGGCGACGTGCTGCCTCCTCCCTCTTAGCCCACTGCTGGTGTGAGAGCAGTTGTCCCTCGGCTTGTCACCGGCTGAGGGTCACGGCTGTTTGCTGTGGCTCAGAGGACAGGAGGTGGCTCGCTAGCTTGACTGAGCCCCGAATCTTACTGACAAAAGTTTTATTTTGGGATAATATAATTTTATTGTGGGGTGTCTACTGCTAAATCCCTGCAGAAGGAGCTCAGAAGGATGCCTACCTTGCTGGCAGCTTCATCCCAGCTCCTGCGAATGCCACCCCTGCCCTGGGAGTGACAGTGAGGTACCCACAGTGCCCGTGCAGGGCTGTGTGTAGGAAACAACTCAGGAGACTTTTCTTGAAATACTTGCCATGGGGACAGTGGGAATCTCTGGAGACACCCATGGAGGGCAGACTGAGACATGAGGTTGGCATCAGAATGGACCCCAATGAGTCGGGCAGGAAGCCAGAGGGACCACAGAGGGGCAGTTTGGGGACCCACTTTGGCAGCGCTTGGGTCACTGTTCATCTGCATATGCAGAACTCAGGCTCAACCGGGGTACCCAGGCACAGGGCTGCTGTATCATGGTGAACTGTCTCTTTTCCAGCCACGTCATCCATGCGGCGCACGGACACCAGCACTCCCACCCGGCCGTCAGTGCCCGGGGGTCAGGCAGAGAAGGCAGCCCTGCGGCTGGCATCAGTCGGAAGCACTCAGGTCAGTGGTCCTGGCAAGGAAAAGCCTTTCTGAGGCTGTTAAAGAAACCTTGATCTTTCCCTCAAAGATGCTGGATCCCCCGCTCTGAGTGTGCTGGAATGTCTCGGGGCTGTGGGGAGCAACACTGGCTGGCAGAGCCAGTGGAGGGATGCCAGAGGCTCCTCTGCTTCCTCCTTTCAGGATTCATTTTACTCCTCCAGGCTAAATGGCTTCTCACGCCACCAGCCTGTTTTTCTTGGGGTTTGTACACATGAAATGGCCTTTATCCAAAATGGATGCTGACACTAAGGACTTGCAATTAGCAGGGACATGCAGGAGCTTAAATTCTCCCTTCAGAGTGATTCTCAGACCTGCACATGGAGTTGTCTAATTCCCTGCACTTGTTCATCCCTGGTATGGGCGGGTGCAGCACCAGCTCTGTGCTGGAGGTGCTATGGACCTACAGTAAGGCAAAGTTTTCATTTCTAGGCCATAGCCACTCCTCAAGCCCCTGGTGAACACCTCCCTCAGCACCCTGTGGCTCAGCTGGCAGTCCCCTCCCAGCACCCTGTGATGGTACGTGGTTTATCTTTATTAAGTGCAGTGGTGTGACCAGTCACTGGGGCAGCCTTGGTGGCTCTGATTCACTACCCGCCTCCTTACTTGCTCGTCCCAGAGCAGGGACAGGGTTTCTGTGCCCTTTCTGTTGCTGTTACTAAGATTTACCTGAAACCAAATTATTGCAACCACTTATTTCAGTGAGCAGACAGAGCAAGTGGGACACCCAAGGAAATAGTATAGAAGTTTTATACTTGTCAAAAGCATTGGAGGCTGCTGAAGGCTCCTCCCTGAATCTGTAGCAGCTAATTACAGGCTGATACAATGATGAAGTTTTATTTCCCTGGGGATGCCATGGAAGATTTGAGTTAGGCCAGGAAAAGAAAAAACAAAATCCACAAGAAAAATGTGGGAGTCATAAATCATAACAGTGAGATCCATCCTCACAGAGCTTTGATGTCAGTGTAGTAAATGTTCAGACTATAAAACAGGAATTGAAGATGGCCAGCATAGGTGTGAAGGATGGACCCCCAGGTGGGATTGCAGCGTAACTTGGGCCTGACATTTGACAAATTAGCAGCACAACTGAAAGCCCAACCAGGAGGTGTAGCAAGGGTTTGGATGCGGTGGCCCAAAACCAGCAGGGTGTTACCCGTGTATAAACACAGAAATTTAATAGACCAGCACCTGGAGGGAGGCACTGAGTGTGAGCCAGATGTGTTCCCGCTCTGGAACTACAGTGGTACTTTGTTTAAATATGCAATTGCCATTTTTTGTCAGCACCATCTTTTCTACAGCAAAAACTGAAAAGCAGTCATTTTTCTGAAGCCAACATCACGTATGAATGTGAGTAGCAGACTGGTCCTACCCTGTGATCCTTTTTTCTGTTATCTGCAGCCCGTGTACCACTTCCCGACCCAGCTGGGGATGATGCATCAGCTGAAAGAGCAGCTGGAGGAGAGGACTCGCATACTGCAAGCTGACATCAAGACTCAGCAAGAAGAACTCCACGTCATCAAGGAGCAGCTCCAGTTAGTGCAGGACTCCAACCTGCAGGTACTTGCTGTCCCAGGGACTCTCAAACTCACCAACCATTTGCTTTTCCTTTGAGCACACAGATCAGTAACAAAATTGTCTGTGACGAAAGCATTAGGAAATGAACTCTGGACAAATTAGTAATTTGGTCTCAGGCGTGGGAGTGGTGTCTCCAGAGAGCTGAGTGACATCAGTACGTGGCTAAGTATTGAATCAGTAATATTCATGATTTACAGGAAAAGCAATCCCAAATTAATCCCAAGTCCTCTCTGTACGAAAAGTTTGGTGGTTCAGTATCTGATCAGTGCTTCTGGATCCTTTGTGCCACTCCTGAAAAACAGCAAACACAATGGATCTGGAATGGTCATGGCTCTGAATAAATATTTGACCCAAGCTAACATTTGATTTTCTGTTACTCCTGGTTCAGTTTGCCCCCGGATGTGGAGATGCTGCTGCTGCAGTGTTATTTCTCCCAGGCAGTACTACCAACAACTCATGTGTCTCTTTTACTTAAAGATGCTGATGCAGCAGCCAATCCCTGTCGTCTTTAACAACGTGCAGCACCCGAGCCCCAGGAGGCCACCGCCCCAGGGGACGCCCAGGCAGAGCACAGCCAAGAAGTCACAACAGCCAGGCCTCGTGGGGACGAAGCACTACTGCAGCACCCACCTGCCCTCACCGCGCCAGTTCCTCAGGGACCCCCACAGCATGGCCACCCAGGTCACTGCCTGCTTCCTTGTCTTCATCATTCCCATTCCTGGCTTTTAAATATTTGCCTGCCTTTTAAATATTTGCCCTCCCCCTCATGGTCCCGTGCATCCCCTCTGTGTTGGTTTTTCTGCGTTGCTGGCATTACAGAATTTGTGTTGAGAGTCAGTTGTGAATAATGTCATTCAGCAGTAAAAGTAAAAGCCAGGTAGCCGAAAAGCATTTGAACTCGGGGACTGCTGGGCCCTCCTGGTGACCCTGGGGAGGAACTGAGTGGGAAGTGTGGGCTCTCAGTCACTTGTGTTCGTGATTGCAACACAATGCTCGTTTGTAGCCGCTGAGAGTTGTGGCTTCACAACACAGGAACGTAGGCATCGTTTCGAAAGATTAGTTTTCCTCTGCCCGAAGAGTCTTGGAAAGCAGGTTTGAAAAACAGTTTTGTCATCACTAGATCTAAATCCACTATTAAGATGGTCACTTCTCCTTGAGAAAGACTTGAATTCTCCAAAAGCAAAAAAGGCTTTTTGAGCTCTTTTTGCTGCTCTAAAGGTCAGATGAGAAGCTTTCCTTGGGGACTTTGAATTTACACTTCCCCTCTTAAGCTGTTCTCCTCCCCCTCAATCCTTTTGTACTCTGATTTCTCAAGGGACTGTCTGTCTCTGCTGCTGGCAATGCCAGCACCTGCCCTGCAGGGACAATAAATGCCAATGGGTTGGCTGTCCTGAAAAGATACGCTGTTTCTACTGCTGTGTTCAGGAACAATGTCCTATTGTTCCTTTCCCTTTTTCCATCTGCACACTGTAAGCACTTATTTTAGCCTTCTGTTAGGGAGCTTTAAAACTTACATGGGTATCTCTGTTTCAGGTACAGCAGCAGCAGCAGCACCTAATGAGAGGAAACCAAGGCCAGCAAGCGTGTCTGCCAGGGCAGGCAAGCATTTCAGTGCCCCTCTACAACAACCCCATGGTGTTCTCACAAACACACCCCATTGCAGTGGCTGCACAGATGCCACCTGACAGCAGCGAGAGGCAACCACAGTCTGAGTACAGCCAGGACAGGAGCCTCAGGTACCCACAGCCCTGCCTTCCAAGTAACTCAGTAAGCTTTGGACGTCTGCTGCTGTTAGAGGAGTAAACAGGAAAAACTAGTCTTTCCCAAACCTGTGTCTTGCGTGTTCTGAAGCTCTAGAGTGCCTTTTCTCCAGGCAGGACAAGTGCTATGGCAATGCCTTTTTTTATACGCTGCTGGAAACATCATATAAAACATATATGACTGTCCCAAACTATTCAACTGCCTTTCAGAGAGACAGGGCCTACAAGATCCAGCTGTTCCAAAATATTGTTTAAGGAAACAGGATAAACCGTAGAGGTCTCATCATCTATAAAATGTATTTCTCACATGAAAAATGTAGCAAATTTCAGCTCACCTCTGCAAGTCCATTAGAATCATATAATCACAGAAAGGTTTGGGTTGGGAGGGATCTTAAAGAGCATGTAGGGACCCTTATGCCATGGCAGGGACACCTTGCACTAGACCAGGTGGGTCAGAGCCCTGTCCAGTCTGGCCTTGAACACTTCCAGGGGTGGGGCAGCCACAGTTTTGTAGGGCTTCACCCCTCTCACAGGGAAGAATTTCTTCCTAAGATCTAATCTAACCTTGCCCTTTGTCAATTTAAAGCCATTCTCCCCTTGTCCTGTCACTATATACCTTTGTAGAAAACCCCTTCAGGCACTGGAAGGCGCTCAAAAGTCTCCCTGGAGCCTTCTCTTCTCCAGGCTGAACAACCCCAACTCTCTCAGCCTGTCTCCATAGGAGAGATGTGATGTGATAAGAAGCATCCTGTTCCAGTTTTCAAGGCGGTGGTTTGCCTGCTTTCATGGAGAATTTTCAGGGATTTGTTTCTAGAGACTGACAGGAGCTTGAACCTCTCCCTTCCCTGACCATCCTCTGTTTTGTTCCACTACAGGATGCTGTTGGATCAATCCATCCAAGCCATGATGCCTGCAGCCAACAGCAGTGGCCAGGCTGTGCAGAGCAGTGCCAGCAGGCAGCAAGGAAAGTGAGTCTTTGCTGGCCCTTGTTTTCCTGCAGTGTTTTAGCAGGGGACTTTATGGCATTAAAAATAACTTGGCAAAACTTGTACCTGATCACGCAAACACGAACAGTCTCAGTCTGAAATGAAGCAAAAGTTCAACTGGTTAGGAGAAAAAGTAATGAGAATATTTTTTAACTACAAAAAACTTTATGATAAATAAAGTGCTTTGGAAAAAAAGAATCAACCGTTCTCTGGCTTTTGCAAATCATAAACTGCCTAACCAAGACATGGAGATGTACAGCCTTAAAAAACTTCATTTTCTGCATTTCCAGTCCGTGTTTGGTGGGGAGGGGGAAATCTGGGGCCTGTTGTTGCCAGGATCTGTGTGGTTTGACAATCCCTGCTCCAGTCTGGTTCCTGCACCACCTGGACTCCTCAGTGCCTATTCTAGTGGTGGGTCTGGGTTTGGGTTCTTACACCTGATTTTCCTCCTCGTGGCAGATTCGTTGCGGAGCAGCAGACCCTGCCTCCCCCAGTACAGGTACAGCCAGTCACCTGTAGCACCGTCCGACCTCCAGCCCCATCGCCCATTTTCTCCCCATCTCTGATGATCCCACACACCAGCTTCACATCCCACCAGGCCAACACACCGGTTCATCTCCACCAGTGGCCACAGCAACAGGCTCCACAGCACCGTCTCTACCTTCAGGTATTGGAGCGCAGGTTTCTGAGGAGGCACAGGGATGGCTTTGGGGTCGGTTGGGGTTTTTTTTTTTGAAGGAATGGGGCTTACTTGCCTGATCAAACTTGATCAGTGCACTTGCACATCCTCCGTTCCCGCTGTATCTGCACGTAGCCACGTGCTCAGCCTTTCTAGGCTGACTGCACCTGCTCAAGGCCATTATTTTCCCACACACTCAGTTATCACCTAGTGTTCAGTTTTTAAAACACAGCTTTTCATACAGAGGAGCTCTGGTGGGAAGCTTACTGTAGACATGAAACATGATAAGAGAGAAGCTGTTTTTAAAACATGCCTCTTACTGTTATGTCTCAGCAGGGCAAGGTTTTTACCAGCTGCTATCATGGCTTCTGTTTTAATAAATGGGTATTTCACAACACAAATCTCTGGAGAAGGTGATTTTGGTTTTTCAACACAGTTTTCATCAGTGTATGCTGAACCAGTGATGCTGCCAAGGAGAGGGGTTGTTGAAACTAGTCATTAATTATTAACATACTCTCCCAGCCTTGCCTGGTTGGCAGAGGTAAGTTACGGTCCTCCAGGCAAAGATGGTAGAAAAGAAAGCAGCAGGAGCTGAAAGCAGCCACACAGCAGGACTGGATTTATTGTGAGAAGTGAATTGTTGTTGTCAGCAAATGTGGGCATGAGCCATCCCCACTTTGGGTACGTGTCCTCATGGGCTGCACTGAGGTCCAGAGGACCAGCAATAGGGATGGCAGAATGATGATGCTGGGACAGATAGGTAACTCCAGGGCAACAGAAAACCAGGCTTTGGTATTGCAATGCCTTTCATAGGGGGTTAACCAGTAAGTCCCCGTCTTTGGGATACCGGCCACAGGGTGGTACATGGCTGAGGTCACTCTACAACCTCTTCATTGCTTGCCTGAAGGTCCTTCCCATGGAATATGAAAGTTGCACATCCTGCACACTTTACCATGCATCTAAGTAGCTTTTGAAGGTCTCCATTCCTGCTGGGCCCTCCATGGGGATGGTAGGACAGATGGGTTCTGCTTCCCTTCCGTACTCTCTGTCATTGTTAGTTGTGCTGACAGCAGCAGCATCCCAAGGGATAAAACTCGTACCCTCAGTGGGTAGAGGTTACCTTTAGGACTTCATACACACACTCCTGGGTATGAGTCTCAGCACTGGCCCTGCAGCAAGAGAGGGAGTGGCTGGATGATGGGGCAGGTCTGATCTCTCAGATTTGTGTCTCCCAACAGATGCAAGGTCCTGAGCTGGTGCCTGGGGGTCCAACGCAGCGCATCTTCCAGCCACCCCACGCTCCACAGCAGAACCCCCTGAGCTACTTCCTCCACCCACAGCAGCAGAGCCACCACGCGCAGGGCCAGCCCTGCAACCTGCCTGACCTGCCCGAGATGCAGCTGCCCTGAATGTTGGCTCTGGGAGGCAGGGACCACGTGAGCTGCTCAGCACCCCGGGCGCACGCAGGGGAGAGCGCGGTGCCGTCAGAGCATGGGACGGGTGAGGTCGGGCTCTGTGGGAAGGTGGTGGCTGGAGGAACAGTCCCCAGTGGGGATGGATGGCTCCAGGAGCACCCTATCCGTTGGGATTTCCATGCAGCCAGTCCGTAATGCTGCTCTGGCAGCTGTTTGTGCCCTGGCCTAGCACCGTGGTGCAACTGGAGGCAGTGGCTTTCTGGCTGCAGGGAGGTCAGTTATCAGGTCGCCTCGAAGCTTGGTTTGCAATGGAGAAAACCCTTTTCCATTCAGGACTTCAGTGCTGAAAGTCACTGTGAATTTAAGCCCAGCATTTGAAGCACATAGACAGACTGTACTGGTCCACAGGACGCCGTTGGATTACCGTGTACATAACTCGTTTTGCTGTAGTAGGTCCATTGTGGATTTTTTGTCCCCTTTTTTCTATACCTCAGTCCCACAGTTTTTTGTTTTCCAGGAGATTGGATAATGCTGCTAATTTACATAACACCACTTTTGCCTGAATTTCTTACTGTTATACCAGCTCACATCGCAGCTAGTACAATATTTGTCATGTTTTATTTTTGGTTAACAAGTGCATAGAAATTTATAGGGTTTTTACTCCCTGTAGCCGAATATTTTTCAGGTTACAGACAAAGAATCCTTACTCCTTCTTTTTCTGTTTTTTTTGTTTCATTTAGAGTGACGTAGTTGTGTATGTTTCTATACATAAAACAAACAAACATGCATAGACTGGCATATGACAGCAAACTTTCTGGTTTTGCTAGGTCATGTTTCAATTTGGCACACCCAAAATATATGATCACAACACAAGCGATGTTACAAGCCCATAGGGTCAGCAATAAATTGTATTTTTGTAAATTGTCACTTTTTAACTATAAGTTTATATTTATGAATTGAAAAACAAGTTTATTCCTCAGTGGGTGTATAGTTAAGTGTCCCTACTGTTTGTGTCTTTCCAAAGGAAAAATGAAAATGTACATTTTTGAGGCGTTAGTAGCTGAGTACTACCTATGGGCACTGTTAGAGGCCAAAGGCAGGAGATGGGTTAGGCCATTACTTTGCAAAATAATGATTAGTTAGGACCAAGTCCATCTAGCAGTAAAGGTCCACCTGACAGTCAGAGCAAAGTTTAGGGAGGGGTTAGTTTGTAATGTCAAAACCAAGCAAACCGTGCTTTTTTTTTTTTGCCTTTTTTTTGGCATTTGTTTCCTTTTTTATCTTGTGCAAGCTGCTTACTTGGCTCTTTGTAGCACTGCAGCAGGTGGACACTGTTACTGGTGTTACTGGTGGAGCAGCCTTTGGCACAAGCAGCCCTGTGTTTCAAGAAAAAGGGGAAAGTGGGAACGTGTCAAAGCAATAGCTACAGCTAATGGTACCTTGAGCTCTCCAATGCCATAAGCACAGATCTGTCTATAGCTCTATCTATGTAGCTGTAGCTGTAGCTGTATGTCTATAGCTGGCTCACTTGCCCCCAGAAGCCACACATTTTCTGTGCTGCAGCACTGGGAGGATTTTGTTAACTTTGGGCCCAGGCTGAGCTTGGGGGGCAGAAGGACAGGACTTTTTCAGCGTGGGTGAACAAGGCTATCGCAGCCAGAGTCTCCTGGAGAACTCAGGAGTGAAACAGAAGTGTGACAGTTCTGCCTCAGACAGGATTTTGGCTGCAGCGTCCCTGCTGCCTGGTGGGGTCCAGCAGGGCTCCCCCAGCCCCTGTACACCAGAGGCTGTTCCCCAGCAATTTTTCTCGGGAAGGGAATGTGTTTTCTCTGTGCCACATTGCCTGGGGTGATGATGGTGGGAGGACAGGCTGCTGGAGCAGGGGCCAGCCAGGAGCTTTCAGGGGGCCGGTGTAAGGCACTAACCAGGGTTGTGCCTTGTCAGCTGAGTCCCTGGCTGGGCCCCAGCCCAGCGAGAACATGCAGCCCTGGACAATGGGCAGCAGAGCAGCTGCTCTCAGACACAGCCTGAACCAGCCCCTTCATTTCAAACCACAACAAGAAATTCTGGCTACAGCAGAGCCAGAGCCACGGCACTGCTGGTAGTGGGATGTGGAGCACCTGCCTTTGCAGAACAACCTGGAGCTGAAATAATAACACGTCATCCCTTGGCTCTTAGAGCCCAAGCCCTGGAGAGAGCAGGGGGGATTTCCTGCCCCGGCATTTGTGCTGCAACAAGGGTCAGCACAGAGCCCTTGGGGTAGATAACTTTATTTTTTTTTTCAAAGCACTATGACTTTTAGGGTCTCCCTCTCCTCAAGACAGCGGGATTGCTCATGAGGCTGTGGCAGGAGGGCGTTGTATTTTTGGGAGTTGTTTGGGGGTTTTTCCCACCATAGCCTTGGAACACAATGTCAGAGGGGAGGCAAACATACATTTGTGTTAGGGGTCCACCACTGTACAGTTTGTGGCTCAGGGTGGCTTGCAGGAGGGAAAGGTCGAGCTTGCCCGTTAAACCTGCATCATCCCAGTGCACCACCATGGCTGGTGTGCAGTGTCCCAACACTACACATGAGCCACCTATGGCAGGTGACAATCTCAGAGGTGGTGATGGTTGGGGTCAAGGGCTTGGGGAGTGTATTTTTTAACAGTGCTTGGTAGGGAGGCAGCTGAGGCAGAGCAGTTTTCCAGCACTGCTGTGGCTTTGACAGCGAGTGAAAGAAGAGGGTTGGGAAGGGGTTTGGGGGAGGTGGGGGGTGGTGGGTGTGCCGGATGGGGCCGTGCCATGGGCACAGCCCTTCTGATGGCAGGGAGAGCTGGGGGGGCACTGTGCCCCTGCTTGCAGCCTCTCAGCGAGGAGCACAGGAGCTTTGTGAGGATGTTTACATGTTAGATCAGCCTTGCTGAAACAAGAGACCTAAAAACGCACTTTATCATGTGCCCCCTTTATTCCCAGTGCCCACCCCAGCCACTGGCCTCGCTGCTGGTGGGCAGGGGGGGCTGCACAGTCCCAGGCACTGCCTCACAGGTAGGGCCTTGTTTTCCAGACATGCTCCAAAGGACAAAATCCCACCATCCCTTTCTGGGGCTTGCTCGGTCCCTGCTCAGTCTGCCTCCAGCTGAGGGAGGGAAGGCTGAGTCAGGGCCATGGGGTTTTTGCCTTATATTGTCACTCACTCTCAAAAAATATATGGATAAATAAATCTCTTTATTCAGGTTGATTTGTATTTGTTTACCTCGGTATTAGCTATGACCTGTGTTTTTAGGACTCATTTGGAATTGAGGGTTGCTGGTGGGTTTGGTTCACACACCCCCAGCTGCAACAAGAGAGCACAAGTGTGACTTGTTGGTGACAAGCAGAGGGCAGGAAAGTGACAGATGGCACCTGCAGCGGGGTCGGGCTCCAGTGTCGGTGTCAACCTATCAGTCATTCATGTTCTGAGGTTTTCTAGTACACAAGTACCTATATACTATATCTCTATATAGATATATGTATTTTTAGTATGCATATATATGTATGCACACATATATCTATATATAAATATATATAGGCCACACAATTCCAGACCTCTGAAAACACAGGCAGCTTTAATTAATAAAGTCTTGCACTTTTAGCATATTTGTACATATAAGCTAAAGCCTGGTGGGTATAATCAGGCTGGTTTGACAAACACAATGAAAAGTTACTGTACATATTGTATATATTCCATGCAAAAAAAAAAAAGAAAAAAGAAAATAAGAAAAAGTCTAGAATTGAGTATAAATCTTGGTTTATTTTATATGATGTTGAATATAAATAAATTTATAAATGTTACTATTCTTAAAAGTATTTTGTAATGGGAAAAAGAAAGTGTCTTATGAAGATGAACAGTAAAGATTTTATTCTTGTTTTGAATCTATGTCCCTGCATAGCTCCATTGAATGGGAGCCTGTGCATTTTGACAAGCTTTAAACAGATTGTACATAGTATTTAAAAAAAAAAAAAGATAAGAAGAAATAAAATAATACTTGTAAGGCCTCTTACACACTATGTGTTGTTGTTATTCCCTGGGTGGCGTGGGTCCATTGGGGATCAGAATCTGATCCCTGCTCTCCAGGAAGAACAAGAGCAGCAGCATCACAGATTCATGTGCACAAACTGCTGAAGGGATGGGGCTCAAGAGGGAGACTGGGATTTCCATGACCAGTGCCAGAAGCAATAGGGGGAATGCATCAGTTAGAAAGAACAAGGCATCAGGGTCAGTGTGGACACATCTGCACACTGTAAATGTTTCATCTGGATGCAAAAAGTGAGTGACAGTACTGGTCTCACTCACCATCTCAGCACTGAACTCAGCTCAGGCTGTAACAAAGCTTAATTAGTCCCAGACCTCAGAATCTGGGTCTCCATTTTTCTTCCATTGCTGGGAAGCTGGCATCCCAGCTTGGGTTTTGCCTTAGTCCTTGTTTTGGAAAGCACTGACTAAGTGTGGCTTTAACATGGAAAACGCTCTTGAAGGAACTTCTGCAACAGACCATCACGAGAAATAATACTGCCTCAAACACAGATTTGTTTCTTTTTAAAGTGAAACAATACTTTATTTAACACCTCATTTGTCTTACAGTACTTCTTCATACAATACACTGTATAAAAGCCAATCTGTCAACACAAATGTGTTGCCTTCTTGGTAAAGTGACAAGGCTATAGCAAAAAAGACAAAATAGCCTATTTTTCTGGAAACAAATTGGAATATTTTCTTCTGCTTTAGTCCAGATAACAGCTGAAATCGCAATCAAGAACCTTGTATGGTACAACTGAATGAGAAACTTCTAGTAAAATCAACACACAGCTATTTAATAGTCACTATGGTAGCAAACTCTTCTAAAATTACATTATTATCCAGCCATTAGAGTGATGAACAAGTGGCTTCGTTTAGGAATGGATGGAAACTGAGTGGGTTTTTTTTTTTTTATCACATGGCAGTGGCCATTTCCATGTCCTGGGAAATGCTACCAGTTGAATTACCATCAGTTCTCCCCCAGGGTGAAAAGAGCTGGTACTTTTATTATTTGAGCCAATCCCTCCCATCGTGTGCCCAAGCCCTGGGCTCAGTGCACAGTCAGGGCTGCCACCGGTCACCTGGAGCACAGGGAACAGCACCAGGCTCCTGAGCAGCACATTCCATATTGCAAGACCGAGGGATCATCACAGCCTACTGGCCATCCCCCTGGGCTGACAACTACATCTGACAGAAGGCATCTTACGTGCACAGCAACAACAGCAACAGCCCAGCCGCCAGAAAGGACCGCGCAGCCTCCGCTGACAGCCACTGCCAGTGTGTCGGGGTAACCAGGACACAGCTGCCAAGTCACCCTGGTGATGCAATTCTCAAACTGTACAAACAGCACCACTGATTTTAGCAATCTATACCCTACCTACAACTGTCTGTTTTCTACTGAATGATGCATCTTCATTTATTCCCTATGTCTGAACCAGAAAAATAGAAAGACAGAAAACTTCATAGAAACTTACGGAAAAAAAAGGAACAGAGATGCTGCTTCCTGTTCGTGAATGAACTGTTCAAAGTTCAAACACACACATAAAAATTTCCAAGTTACAATTTGAATGGAAATGAGTGCTGTCACCCTGCTGAAAGTGACCTTGCTTCACATGCTCCATCCTGCTGAGACTGGCCACTGTGACTAGTCTTCCTGGATCAGCCTACAGGTTGTCCTGTATTACAGAAACAATTTAAAGACATCACTCTTTGGGGGAAAAATAATAAAAAAATTGACCAGAAAATCCATGCAGTTAATAAAAGTTAGTGTTCCCCTACATGTCCTAACTTCTTACCTTAAATCTATTTATATATATGCTGGTAATCTCTCTTTATACATAGATATAATAGCTGAGAAGAGCTACTGCCTAACTGGCAATGGCTCCACAGTCTCTTG